AAGAAAGAAAGAAAGAAAGAAAGAAAGAAAGAAAGAAAGAAAGAAAGCAAGCTTTGGTTTAGTAGAAAGCAGGCCATTCAGAAACCACATCTTGATCTTCTGGCTTGCTTCTCATATTGGATGTTTTAAACCACCATTTTTATCAAGAATCTTCCAAAGTGGTTTATTATTTGGCTGTACAAAATAAGAAGGGAGCAACCCAGCTGATGGGGTGTTCCTTGTCAGTATTTATAGTTTTGAAATAGCACTACCTTAAATTTGCTAGTGTAATAACAATATTCTTTTAAAAAAACTTGCTAGGTGGACTACGGACACCAACTTTCCTAACCTTATACCGTCCATTTGTGATGGGACTACTGTTCTTGGAGTTTTATATGTTCCCAGGGTCACATCTGGAGAGCACAAAAGTGGGGGGAAATAGCAATAAGCACTTAGACTTATATACTGTTTTACAGCCCTCTCAGCAGTTTGCAGAGTCAGCATATTCCCTCCAAGGATCTGGATCCTCATTTTACAGACCTCGTAAGGATGGAAAGCTGAGTCAACCTTGAGCTGGTCAGAATCGAACGCCTGGCAGTGAGCAGTTGGGTTAGCCTGCAATACTGCCTTCTGACCACTGCACCACCACGGCTCTTATGCCTGGAATTTCATGCCATTCTTTTATTTGTTAAAAGCAACCAAGTCCATTTATTGCATGGACACACCTGCTAGATTTTTGGTCTGGTTATAGCTTTTCCCAGCGTGATTATGTAGAATTGAGATCAAGAAGCTGCTCACCAGCTATTGAATGATTTAAAAGCTGCTTAAAAATATTGTGGTCACCTAATTAATCCAGAGCGTTGTGGCCCACTGGCGGCTAGCGGAGCTGGCCGCAAAGTCAGACAGTGAGATGGTTGGGGAAGAACCTGGGCCAGTCCTGGAGGCTGAGGAAGGCTCAGAGGAGGGCTCTGCGTCAGAGACAGAGATGGGGCCAGGGCAGTCTGGCAGTTATGAGCTGCCTTCAGAGTCAGACTGCAATGAGGCAGGGGAGCAGCTGGAGCCATTTCCCAGCCTGCACATGTGCAGAGCTGCCAAAAGACAAGCACAGTTACGAACTAAGGGTCGACGTGGGAGTAAAGCCACAGGTGGACAGTGAATGACCCCTCCCATAGGGATTAAAAGAGGAGCCAAAGGAGAGGGGGCTTTTGCAGGAAGCAATTCGTTTGTTGCAGCAGTGTGAAGATCTGTCTGCAACTCAGAGACTCTGTGCCGAGTCCTTCCTTGTCAGCATTGCGTTTGGAAATATTCACTTGGCAACTCTCCAAGTTAGATAAGTTCTGTGCTCCTAATTACACCCTTGAAAGACTGTTTGCCAGGCCTTTGGCTGAATGTGAGTGCAAGAAATTCACCTTTGTTTAACAAACGGGGTTTTGCTGGGACAAAGAGTCTGCTTAGTGCTTTTGGGGGAAGAAGCCAAGATCAGAACACAGAGCACTGAAGTTATGACTTGTGAGCTCTTTCCTCATGCTTGTTACTCATGGAGTTTTTTTTCTCCTTCAGTCTGGCAGAGAGCAAGGTTCTTCCAGGTAGCATGAAGGACAACTTCTGGGAAATGGGAGACACTGGGCCCTGTGGCCCCTGCAGCGAGATGCATTACGACCGGATTGGGGACCGAGACGCTTCCCACCTTGTCAATCAAGATGATCCCAACGTGCTCGAGATCTGGAATTTGGTGTTCATACAGTTCAACAGGTGATGCAGGAATTGGTTTCCTGTGGCTTGACATCTAGCTGTGGGCTTTCCAGTCAGCTGGAGGAAAAGCATTGAAGAATTCCACCCCCACTTTTATATTGATGCATATATGTGCATGATATATTTGCTCTATCTACGTACAGGTAGTCCTCGACTTTTGACCACAATTGAGCCCAAAATTTCTGTTGCCAAGTGAAACATTTGCCCCATTTTGCGACCTTTCTTCCCGCCGTTGTTAAGTGGAGTTAACAATTGTTAAGTTAGGAAAACGGTTATTAAGTGAATCTGTCTTATCAAAAGCCACAAAAGGCAATCCCGTAACCCCGGGACCAGTGGTGGGTTTCAGAGCACACACTTTGCATGCATGCACCAAATGCACACTTCGCGCATGTGCAGTGGCTTCCCTACTTACCTCTTGCACGCTCCTTGTGTCTCCCACGGCTGACGCGCGCGCACGAGAGAGAGAGACTTTTGGCTTCATGCAAGGAAAACAGCAGAAGTCTTTCTTTCTCTTCCCCAAACTCCACCAGAAATGAGTCTTTGTGAGATTTGTCACAGCCTCTTGGAGCAGGAGGCCTTGCAGGTCCCAAAGACTCATTTTTGGCAGAGTTTGGAGGAGAGAAAGAAAGACTTTTGCTGCTTTCCTTGCATGCAGCGAAAAGCAGAAGAAGAAAGAAGCGGAAAGAAGCATCCCAGTGGCCAGGCCAGGCGTGTGGGGCAAGTCCCCCCCTCCATCCTTTCCCCCATCCCCTCACTACCTCGTGTTGTTTGCAATGCAAGCAACGCAAGCCTTGTGTTCCCATGAGCCATGTGGATGGCGCAGCCTTGTGTTCCCGTGCAGCCTGGATTTATTGCTTTGGAGGGAACATTTCTCTGTGGACATCAAAATTTTCTCACAGACCACCAGTGGTCCCTGGCCCACTGGTCAGCGACCACTGGTTTACTGTCATTGCACCTTGTACAACGAAATTAAATACCACCTTCAGTGTGCATTATGACTACGAAAATAAACAAACACACCTCCTTCACATTCTATACCCAGGATGGCGAACCTATGGCATGTGTGCCAGAAGTGGCACACAGAGCCGTTGCCCCAGCTCAGTTCCACTGCGCATGCGGGCATGCCTCCCACCAGCCAGCTGATTTTCGGGTATCTGCCACGCACATGTGAAGGGCGTGGCGCATGCGGGAGATGTGTACGCATGCAGAAGGGGGCGTGGGGAGCGCAGGGGGGTCCTGCACACACGTGCGGGGGGCGCGGGCATGCATTGCATTATGGGTGCAGGCTTACATACGCACTTTCGGCACACAACAACAAAAAGGTTAGCCGTCACAGTTCTATACGTTGAATGGAAAACGCCTGATATTGCATTAATATTGCACTATACAGTAGAATTCAACAGAGCTGCTGCCAGTGGTGGTATTTGACCGGTTCTGCCCAGTTCTGGAGAGCCGGTAGCAGCAATGAGCACTGGAGACCGAACCGGTTCTCTTCGCTGCTCTGTGGTTGGCCCACCCGCCCGCCCGGGCTCCCATACTCTTATGGCCAGAATTCAAAGTGCAGCTGCTTTGCGCAGCGCAGAATAGCGCCGCACGGCAGCTGCTGCAGCGACCACCATCGTGCAGGCTTGCAGGAGGCAAGTTAGAACGCCTCTGCGCCTGCGCAGAGTGCGTGTTTGGCACGTGCATGGAAAGTGTGCATGCGCGCAAAGCCACCAAGCCACACCCACTGAACCAGTGGCAACTTTATTTGAATACTACCACTGGCTGCTACCCTGGGATAGAAGCTGTTTTTCAGCCTGTTTGTCCTTGTTTTTATTATTATCCTCTACCGTCTGCCAGATGGTAATAGTTTTTTTAAAAAAATAGGGTTCCCAGGACAAGATGGATCTTTGAGAATGTTTTGAACTTTCTTAAGGCAGTGGGAGCTATAAAGCTCTTCCAAAGAGAGGTAAAAAAAAAAAATCTTTCAAAGATTACTTGAACATAGGGATCCTGCAATGGTCATAAGTGTGAAAAACGGTCATAAGTTACTTTTCAGTGCTGTTGTAACTTCGAGCGGTCACAAAAAGAACCATGTTGTAAGTCAAGGACTACCTGTATTTCATTGCCCTATATTGGTTTTAATTCGCTTTTAAATACATGGTTTGAAATTGGAGGTTCTGGTTTGCATGAAGTTGGGATGAAGGGGAAGGACTGGACTTCTGCTCATGTTTCCTAACCATTATTGTTGTTGTTATATATTATATATTATTTTCTTCTTCTTGGGCCAGAGAGGCTGATGGGACCTTGAAACCACTGCCGAAGAAAAGCATCGACACTGGGTTGGGGCTGGAACGGCTGGTGTCCGTGTTGCAGAACAAAATGTCCAACTATGACACCGATCTTTTTGTGCCTTATTTCGAGGCTATTCAGAAGGTAGGCCCCCAAGTTGAGGGTGGGTCAGTGTGTCAATACATGGTTCGGCCTCTGGACAGCTTAGCTCGGGCTGCCCTTGAAAGCCTTTTGGAAAAAATGGAGTGTAACAGAGTATAAAGAATAAGTTGGAAGGGTCCTTGGAGGTCTACTAGTCCAACCCCCTGCTTGTTGCGGTTCGCCGGCGGCAAGTGCGGATGGCTGAGGTCTCAGAGAGCGAGGACTCAGGTGAGGGGCCTGCGTGCGATGCATTCCCGTTTTCGTTTCTTTTTTTTTTTTTTTCCGTAGGGGACTGGCTGCCGACCGTACACCGGGCAGGTTGGTGAGGAAGATGTCGATGGCATAGACATGGCTTACCGAGTCCTGGCTGACCACGCCCGAACCATCACCATAGCCCTTTCAGACGGGGGGAGACCCGATAACACCGGCAGAGGGTGAGGCTTCCCCTTAATTCCCCAGGGTGAAGCCTGGATGAAACCAAAGGGAATTCCTTGAAACGGCACTGAAGTTTTTTTCCCCCCCAATGCAGTGATCCCCAATTCTTTCCAGCTTGGCAGCCCTGGTGGGGGAAGGAGAGAAGGGGGGGTTCCGTGCAAGGGGCATGCGAAGGGCAAACAGCTCTGTGCTGTCCAGACAGTTTAGAGTTAATGGGATTTGGGCTAATTAGTTAGGAATTGTGAGCTGTCCCCTTAAGGGAATGCATCATGGTAAATGTCGTTAAGGTATCCTGGGAAATGTAGTCCATGTCATGTGGCCACATCTGTAATCCTGATTGGTCTCTAAGTTGACCCTTGTTGGGTTGGGGGAGGCTCCCTCTCTCTTTGCCTGAACACACAGCCTTGTAGCATCTCTACCCCCTGCCTCTACGGCTATGGGATAGAAAGGTTAATATCATTTACACTACGATTTCAACTGTGCAAAGAATTGGACATTAGATGCATCTCGACATAACTGTGAGTTGGCTTGAGGATACCTTAATATAATCCAATAAAAGAAACTTTGCATGGAAGGATTTGTAGAGTTATTCTTATCTGCCTTTATATTCAGCAAGTGAATCGTAAGACATGATAAGCTCCATTTTTGTGGCCAGCGGGCATGGCTGCTCACACAAACAGCGGTTCATGTAAGTGTCAAGCACCCGCCATTTATGCAAAGGGAGCTGCACACACACACACACACACACTTTGCCTTTCGTGGCCCAGTTCCGAAGGAGCCACAGCCCAGTATTGGACTGTAGCCCCTGGATTGGGGACCTCTGCCCTAATACACTCCTCGTCGGTTCTCTCTGCGTCTCAAATGTTTTCAGAATTAGGACTGGTCAGAATGTAAACCAGATGTTTGTTTACCTCCTGTTCCTTCCTGCAGGTATGTTCTGAGGCGCATCCTCCGACGTGCTGTGCGCTACGCTCATGAGAAGCTCAATGCTCCCAAGGGATTCTTCGCCACCCTGGTCGATGTGGTGGTTCAGTCCCTGGTAATCCTACCCTTGCCTTTTGCTCTCGAGTGATTCCGCCCAATGTCCTGGCCTGTAATTATAAAATAGAATCACCCAGAGCCACTGGAATTCTGGGAGTTGTAGTCTCCACATTAACTAGAAAGCACTCCAGAGGGTTAGCATCATTGCCCAGAAGACCATTGGTTACCCTCTCTCCTCTTTGGAAGAGTTTTATATCTCCTGCTGCCTTAAGAAAGTTCAAAACATCCTCAAAGATCTATCTCATCCTGGGCACCCTTTTCTTTTGAACTATTACCATCTGGCAGACGGTACAGGATAATAAAAACAAGGACAAATAGGCTGAAAAACAGCTTCTATTCCAGGGCAGTAGCTCTTTTGAATTTTGCTGTATAGTGCAGTGTTGGTGCGGTGTTGGGGGGGTTTCGGTTCAATGTGTGGAATGGGAAGGATGTGTGTGTGCGTTTTATTTTCATGGTCACGATGTGCACTGAAGATGGTGCTTGATTTTGTTGTACAAGGTGCAATGACAATAAAGTAAATCAAACTAAACTAAAAAGCATCAGGGAAGGCTGCTCCTAACCCTTCTCTGTGATGCATAGATGGCTGACTTCACTGAATCCTGTTCCTCTCAGGGTGGAGCCTTCCCTGAACTGACCAAAGATCCAGACATGGTGAAAGATATTATCAACGAGGAGGAAGTGCAGTTCTTGAAGACACTCAACCGAGGACGCCGCATTCTCGACAGGAAGATACAGAGCTTGGGAGACAATAAAATAATCCCTGGTATGTAACATGTTACCCTTCCTATTAATAGTCCCTATTAACTCAGAAGATCATGTGAAGTCATACATCTCTCAGGATAATCTTACTTCTCTTTAAAGGTCATTAAGGGTAGTAGAACATACGGTAGGGCTGGATAGGAATCTGTCAGACCCGCCCCAGTCTGATCCCTCAGGAAAGAAAAACCCTCGACTCCCATTTGATTGTAGTGAAAGGTATTTGTACTAAAAGATGCTAGTGGCAGTAAAGTCGGGTGGAATCTGAGTTTCTTGGGCATCAATACAGAACTGTTGTCCTTCACTCCCCATCGCTCCCGCTGCGGCCAGTCCAAATACAAGGAATGCAGTGCCGCTGAGGTGTTTGGGGAACACTGAGGAGTTTAGGCTGATAACTTCCCACTCAACCTTGAAGATGCGTGGCACAAACTGGTTCTCTGTGAGGTCCTTCTTTTTCCTTCTCCTCTTGCGTAGAGAGCATGAAGAGAAAGGAAAACTCAGCTATGAGACAGGATGACTCAACAAGGAGTGTTCCTTTTGCAGATCGAGATGTTTTCACGGCGCTTTGACCGTTGGTTCTTTCTTTCTGGTCCCTGTCCAGGAGACACGGCCTGGCTGCTATATGACACGTACGGTTTCCCTGTGGATCTAACCGGGCTGATTGCAGAAGAGAAGGGGTTAAGAGTTGACATGGAGGCCTTCGAGGAAGAAAAAAAGACCGCTCAGGTAGGGCCGTGCTACTGCCAACCCAATCTCAATCTTATAGGGCATCTGTTTCCCTGAAAATACAACCAATCCTGGAAAGTAAGTCCTAGCTTGATTTTACATGTGCACCCAATATAAGCCCTACCCCCCAAAATAAGCCCTAATTAAAATCCCACCCACTTCAGAGTGGACAGGTAAAAACCAAGTTAGGGTAGGAATTGCAGGGTGGAGCTGCCCTACTACTTAGCTTTGGGCAGTTGTAGCCAGGCCTCGCACACTCCTACACCTGTCTTGCCAGCCCATTTCTTCTGCAGCCAGTAAGGCTGGCAAGGCTTTCTCAAGCCCGCTGTAGCTGGTAACGAAGCTCTGAATTGATCCTGAGCTCTGTTAGCGGCTACAGAGGCCTTCAGGAAAGCCTTGTCAGCCGCAGAAGAGGCTCCTCTGACAGCGAAAAGGAGACCGGGGGTGACATCCCCCCCCCCCCAAAATAAGACCTGGTGCCTTTTTTGGTGGGAAAAAAAATATAAGACGGTCTTATTTTCAGGGAAACATGGTAGGTGGTCCTTGACTTACAAATATTCGTTTTGTGACCAGTTCAAAAAGTGAAAAGGGTGGCTTTTTATTCGTTTATAATATAAAACACAAAAAAAAATAGTGGGAAAATAAGGGAGGGGGAAAAAGGGAAAAAGAGGAAGAAAAGGTGTTGACTTCTGACTTCCTTTGGTGCAGTAGAGTAAGATAATAGCATCAAACCTCAACTTAGTCCCTTAATCCAGCCTTCACGCTTAGGTTTGTTACATTCCTAGCTGAAGTCCCAGGGCAAGGGAGGTGGTGATGAAGATCTCATCATGTTGGACATCTATGCTATTGAAAGTCTCCGTGACAGAGGTCTGGAGCCCACCGACGATTCCCCAAAATACAACTATCGGTCGGATCCAGAAGGCTTCTACGGTGAGTTCCAGGCTGTTCCTTTAGTGCAGCCTCTTCTGCCTGTCCCAGGGCCAGCATGTTTTCCTAGGTATCTAATAAAACCTTCAGATGAGTAGGGACTCGCAGGCAATAAATTCTGGGGGTTGTGTCCCAACACGTTGAGTTCAGGAAGGCTGGCCCTGAATGGTCTCTTCTGCCGGGGTCAAGGCTGTCCTTGCCCATCTTCTGCATGGTCCTTGTTGCTTCCTGATGGGATACGAAGTTCACCTGTCTTTTTTTTTTTTTTTTTAACCCTATTGGGGGTGTTTCGTTTTGACCTACAGAATTTGGTAACCCTGGGGCCACGGTGAAAGCGATCCGACGGGAAAACACCTTTGTGGAGGAAGTCCATACAGGCCAAGAGTGTGGGGTTGTACTGGACCAGACCTGCTTCTATGCTGAGCAGGGCGGACAGATCTACGATGAAGGCTACTTCATTAAAGAAGACGACGGCGCTGAAGATGTAGGTTGGCCGAGTAGATTTGGTGGGAACCTTGATGTCAACTCATAAAACGTTCCTTTGCCTGTTTTAGTAGTTGCCATTAAAAAGCGGGGGAGGAGGAAGGAACTCTGGAAGAGCAGTGCAGCAGTTTGGAAGCGAAAGTACATTCCAACACTTCTCTTTAAAAGATTGTAACTAAAATACCAGAGCTTTTGCCCACGAATATATTTAATTGGAGAACGTGAATGATGACACCCAGCCCTTGAACGTCCTTAATTGGGGAATCTGATTGATGACACACCCAGGGGGAGGGGGGAAACAGGGTAAGAGGTGACTGTAAATTATGAATGCCAGAGTTGGCTTCATACAGGGCAGTGCCAGCATGTCGTCTCTAATGAATCCTTTGAAGTTTTTTGAAGTTTGGCTCGAGAATCATGATTTAATTAGGGCGATTGCTGGAATCCTGACAGCATCCCTTTCAGGATGGAGAGGGCTTGGCGGACAAATGCGCCGTCCTCCTCCCCCTTAATGCCTGCTGACTAGCAAGTTGGAGGATCACAACTGGCTCTTCAGTCTAGGAAGAGATGATCAGAACCAGTTCTAGGTTCTGGCATGCTCTCGGTTCGTTGGGATCGGTCTTGTTATCAATCTCCTTGGTTGATGCGATGAACCACGTCCGCTGACTCTGCCCTTTTGCTTTGCAGAAGACGGAATTTACGGTGAAAAACGTACAAGTCCGAGGAGGTTACGTGCTCCACGTGGGCACAGTCTATGGGAGCCTCAAGGTGGGCGATTTTGTGCGCTTGTTTATTGATGAGGTGAGTGGCTCGCGGAGGGAAGAAGGTAAAAAAGAAATTTGACTTGGGTTCTTCCATCTAATCCTTTTCTTATGGGTCAAACCAGGATTAAAATTCGATGCATTCGCCCAGGATTCCCAATCTTTCCGGCTTTGAGGGACAGGAGAGGGTATGATTCCACGCCAGCAGCCAGCAAGTGTGCATGTGTATCTCCATTTGTATGAGTGGCAGGCATACATGCTCCTTGCTGGTGCAAATTTGTTCTGACTCAGCTCCCCAAACACGACAAACCCCTGAAATTAACCCAGAGATTCCTTTATTAGGAGCCCCAGCAGCCCCGACAAAAAGTTTCTCTCTTAACTCAGTTTAACAAGTCCATCCAGCCAGAAGATGAATAGTTTTCTGCCACATCTATTCATCTCCACCTGCTGCCTTTTATCCCCAGAGCTCAGATGGGGCTTCGCTAGCAGCGGTGGCTCTTCCATCCCAAGGACCGGCCCATAGATTTCCACTGCTCTCCTCTCCTCTGCCTTCTGAGCATCTGCAGGTCAGGCAGTGGACCAAGCTGCTCCTCCTCCTCCTTCTTCATCAGTCACCTCCAGTCCTGGGGACTGTTGACTCTCCTGAGGGCTGACGGATGGCCCGGGTTCCGCCTCTGTCTCTCTCTCCGACAGCTTCCTTCCCTCTTGGAGATCTCAGGTTGCTTTGATGCTGACCCTGACTCCCAAGCTGCCGCCTCCTCCTCCTCCTCCTCTGATCCGGCTGCTGGACAGGCCACAACAAAATTGAGTGCTCATGCACGCTCTCGCCGGCTGCTCGCATAAAGTAGGGATGCTTATCGACTGCTTCTGCAGCTCGGTTCCGGACAGCTCACAGCCCAGTAGTGGGCTGCAACCCCGGGGTTGGAGACCCCTGCACTAACCCATTGCCCAGATTGCTTATGGTGTTGTGGTTCACCGGCGGCAGGTGCAGACGGTTGAGGCCTCGGAGAGCGAGGACTCAGATGAGGGGCCTGTGTGTGAGGCAGGGATGGGGCCAGGACCATCGGGGAGTAGAGTGCTGCCATCGGAGGTTGTGGAGGCTGGCAGCGGTGAGGAAGAGGTTCCCGAGGAGCCTGTGCCCAGTGCGCATGCACACAGGGCTGCTTGAAGGAAAGAGCAGCTGCAGCAGCACAGGCGACTCGGGAGTAATGCTGTAAGGTAATGGCCCCTCCCTTAAGGGATAAAAGTCAGCCTGAGAGACCGGGATTCTTTGCAGGAAGCAAAGAAATTCTTGCACTTCAAGCCTTGTGGAAGTTCGGACTATCTTGGTTGGTGTTTGAAGACTTTGTGTTTGGAATATTTCTTAGTAACTTTATCTGGTGTTTATGGCAGCCTTGCACAACCTCGGCAAGGCTCGTTTTTATCAGAGACAATTAGTTTTAATAGCCTTTTAACCGTGAGTGAACAGAATTCGCAGAGAAGCATTCAAAGGTTTTGCTTTTATCTCTGTTTGGTGTTTGTTTCCTTGGAACAAGGTTTGGGTCAGAACACATGATCCCCAGCTGGCTGTCTAGAATTGATCCTAGAATTGATTTTTTGGATCCTTGATGAGACTGGATCCTCCCTTCCCTTGCAGATCCTCTCATCTCCAGTCACGTCTCTCTTACCTTTCAGCCGAGGCGAAGGCCCATCATGAGCAACCACACTGCCACCCATATCCTCAACTTCGCTTTACGTTCCGTGCTGGGCGAAGCCGACCAACGAGGATCCTTGGTGGCTCCGGACCGATTACGGTTTGACTTCACCGCCAAGGGAGCCATGTCTACCCAGGAAATCAAGAAAGTGGAAGAGATTGTTAACGGAATGATTCAAGAAGCCAAGGTAAAGTGAGACAGAGAGTGCCAGTGTCCTTGCGTTGAATCCCTTTGGAATATAATTCCTTCCCCAAGGGGATAACTAGAGACAACTGGATTTCTCTATCCAGATGCATATCAGGGTATACAGAAGATAAGTCAGTCTCTACTTTCCCTACCAATTGGCTTTAGCAATAGACTTATATACTGCTTCAGTGCTTTTACAGTGGTTTACAGAGTCAGCCTATTGCCCCCAACAATCTGGGTCCTCATTTTACCAGCCTCGAAAGGATGGAAGGTGGAGTCAATCTTGAGCCTGCTGAGATTCTATTTTGTCTAGTTTGATGAAAAGAAGGACCAGGGGAGACATGATAGCAGTGTTCCAATATCTCAGGGGCTGCCCCAAAGAAGAGGGAGTCAAGCTATTCTCCAAAGCACTTGGGGGTAGGACAAGAAGCAATGGGTGGAAACTAATCAAGGAGAGAAGCAACTTAGAACTAAGGAGAAATTTCCTGACTGTTACAGCAATCAATCAGTGGAACAAGTGGCCTCCAGAAGTGGTAAATGCTCCAAAATTGGAGGTTTTTAAGAAGAGATTGGATAACCATTTGTATGAAGTGGTTGTAGAGTTTCCTGCCTAGGCAGGGGGTTGGACTAGAAGACCTCCAAGGTCCCTTCCAATTCTATTATTCTAAGATTCGAACTGCTGGCAGTCAGGAGAATTAGCCTGCAGTGCTGCATTCTAACCACTGCGTCCCCATGGCTCTTAACACCTAGATTTTTCCCCCTTCTTTTATTTATTAAAACCAGCCAAGTCCATTTATTGCATGGACACAGCTGCTTGATTTTTGGCCTGATCCTAATTTTTCTCAGCCCGATGATATAGAGTTGAGATTAGGAAGCTGCTCACCTGCCTAAAGGAAATCAAACTGAAGCTTGGGTTGGCATCTTCTGGTATAGTTAGGGGGGGGCAAATTTGGCTCGCCTATACCGGGGCCTTATGCCTTGGCAGAAAAAGAGAATGATCTTGAGATTGTTGCACTAAGAAACACTAGGTACAGCAACTGGATCCTCTCTGCTGGAATTTATTTGTCAGGGTAGTGATTTAAGAGCTGACCAGCTGCTGCAATGATGTAAGGAAGGGAATGAGTCAGCAAGATTTTTGGCTGTTATCCCTTTAAGAGCCTGTATAATAAGAAGAGGCCCTGTTAGGTCGTATTTCTCTCTCGCGCGCACTATGTGTTTTTCCCTGCTGTAACTGCTTCTTGTTTGACCTCTGCCTAGAGCATATGTATGCATAGTATATATTCTTTTGTAGATAAAACCACTTTTTATTACAAACCTCTGTTTGCTGTTATTGCTCCTGGGTTGTCTCGCGTAGTAAAGCTGGCCGCACACTGACACTGCTAATCTTCGGTGTCTCTGTGATCAATTTCCCAGGTTGTGTACGCCAAGGACTGTCCGCTGGCGGCTGCCAAGGCCATCCAAGGCCTCCGAGCCGTATTCGATGAGACTTATCCTGATCCTGTACGTGTTGTCTCCATTGGCATACCTGTTGAGGACATGCTGAACGATCCTTCCAGCGCAGCAGGTGCCGTCACATCGGTTGAATTCTGCGGGGGCACGTGAGTACATCTGGGTCGCGAGGGGAGGCGGGGGAAGCCCTCCACCGGGGAAACCAAAACTACAGATCATGCATTCCCGAGCAGATTAGGTCTTCAAATCCAGACATTGATGCAGGTTGCTGAGACGAGAGGTATTAAAAACTCGCCGTCAGCCTCTGAACTTGCAGAGATTCTCAGTCATCCAGGTCATGGTTATCCCAAGGTGCTTTTTCAGGTGTGGGACAGTCAGTGGTGGGATTCAAAAACTTTTACTACCGGTTCTGTGGGCCTGGCTCGGTGGGCGTGGCAGAGGAAGGATACTGCAAAATCCCCATCATCCGTCCACCCCGCTAACCTGCTTTCCAGCTCCGTTCTCCTGCGCAGGGCAACCAAGGAAGACCCAGCCAATCAGCTGGGACTCGGGAGGCGGAGAATAGATGGGGCGGGACCAGTCAGAGGTGGGATTTGCCGGTTCTCCAGAACTACTCAACATTTCCGCTACCGGTTCTCCAGAACTGGTCAGAACCTGCTGAATACCCACCTCTGGTGTGGCAGTAGGAATGGATTTCCAGAGGAAAAATTGCAGACTCCAGGAACCAGGAGCACTAACTCCGGTGACCCTGAGGATACAGATTAAACCCCCAAGTGCTTCAACGACTTTCTAAAACAGGAGTGTCAAACACGGCTGGATGCGGCCCACGGGATGCTTAGAACTGCTCCGCGGGGCCGCCCTAGCAACAACGAAGGACTGGCCTGTGGTGCCTCTGCTAGCCAAAACAGCTCCATTTTAGTTGACAGAGGGTTGCAGGCGAAAACAGAGCTCAGGAGGCTGTTTTCTCTGGCATTGGGCCATCACAGCCCCTCTCCCCAACACGAGTGACTTGATGGCCACGCCCACCCTGGCCTTCCGAGGTCAAGCAACCCTGATGCAGCCCTCAATGAAACCCGAGTTTGACACCCCTACTCTAAAAGGATGCAGATGACCTGCTGTCTGCAAGGAATATAAATCCTTCCCTTCCCCGCCGTCCTGTCAGAGCCGAAGAAGCTTCTTGGATGAGAAGCGAAATGTCTTTAAAGAAGGAAAAACAAGAAAGTCCTGGGGGAAAAAAAAAACGCCTTTGGGACTGAACTTGCCATGTTTTTACAGGCATTTGCAGAACTCGAGTCACGCCGGACACTTCGTCATTGTGTCGGAAGAAGCCATAGCGAAGGGCATCCGGAGGATAGTGGCCGTCACTGGGGCCGAAGCACAGAAGGTCAGTGGAGAAGGAAGAGAGACGGATGCTCTGGGGAAGCTGAGCGAATTGAGAACCTGACCTGTTTAGATAACACCTGGACTGCTGATCCATTGGACGCCTGTTTAATTTTAAGTGAAGAGACCAGTCCTTGCTCTTGTCAACCTGATTGTTTTCCCTTTAGGAGTGCTGGGGTCTCAAATGGTCTCTCTTCTGTAAACCTTACCACATTCCTTTTCTTTTCTTTTCTTTCTTTTTCTTTCTTTCTTTCTTTCTTTCTTTCTTTCTTTCTTTCTTTCTTTCTTTCTTTCTTT